AAGAGCTCCGGCGGTGGTCGAGGAGGAGCTTCTTCCTTCTCTTCCTTCTTCTCTCTCTCTCCACTTGAGTCCCCTTTTGTGATGAATGAGGGCTCTATTTATAGTTTTTCTGGAGTGGCGTGGCTCGTAAATAAATGTGAGATCATGGCAAATAGGGAGTGGTTCGAATGGACGGCCGATATTGAACCCCTCGATCGTGCACAGTTTTTTGGACATTTGGAGGCCTTAGTGATGTCGGAATTCAGTGATCTTGGGCTCGTTGGATTCGTCTCGTCAAGCCCTTCGATTCGAGTATAAGCTCGTCAAAATCGGAGACCGTTTGGTAACTCAAATTGCTGTTTGAACCTTCCGACAGCACTTTGAGCCCTTGATTTGGACTCATTTGGGCTCGGATTGAGTTGAACTTGGTGTCGTCGGGTTTGTATTTCCGAGACGCTCAGTTTGACTAAAAGCTCGCTGAAATCGGAATTCGGATGCTCCCTAAATTAAATTTTAAAGTTTCCAACTAGCCTTTTGCCTTGAGATTCGTGTCCGATCAAGATAATTTTTGCATGACGTATCAATTATACATAAATAATTTATATTGCAGCTATCTTAAATCAAATTCATGAATTTCAAGTTTATTTTAACCAATAAATTCTATGAAGAAATTCTGAGCAAATTTTTTTTCATTAATGTTATATGAAGGTATTCCGGCGAGTCCATATATTTTTTAACATAAATATTTTTTAATATAAAACAAATATGTGTACATAGTCAAATATGCCCTTAGCTTCATGTTATTAACCAAACAAGCCATGTAGATTTATACTATACAAGTTATGGTATTTGTACTATACAAATTAAGGATAATTAACTGGTTCTGAAAGGTTAAAAGCTAAGCTTTTGAAGGAATCCTTGGTATAGGAAGGAGAAAAGGAGAGATGTCTTGTGAAGAAAATATGATGCAAATATTTAAGTAGTTAGGGGTGGACTTTTAAGGTAAGGTCATTCTAACATTTCAAGAGCATAGCCCCTTAAAAGTATCTAATATTTGTGTTTTTTCATTAATGATTTTTTTTTTCTTAGATATTTTTTCTTTATTTAGAGAGATTGTGGGGGCACGGGAGCGCTCATATAAATAAAAAATTAAGATTTTTATTGGATGTGTCGAGCAAAACTACACTTGAGGAAGCATGAATCTCAGTGCAGTCCTTTTGGCTGCATGTTTTGGGAATTAAATTCAAGATTATCTAAAACTTTGATTTCAATATTTATAGTTGAACTGAATGTCTAGATGAAAAGCAACCTGTCAAAAGTGATGTGATCCGAGCCCACGTGATAAAATCAAGCACTTAAAGAGTAGTTAAAATTTTCATAATATTAATTGGATGGTCGAATGATCTTCAAATATTGTATTTTTACAATCAAATTAAACGAGTCAATGAGGTGAATTTAATGACTATAAAATCGTTTAATTCTTACATAATTAATGCACTCAAATATTTAAATTATGGTCTATAGTTAAGAGAATCAATATAGGCCATCCGACGGAGTGTTTTGGGGAGTTTGACTAAATTTATTAAAATACTACTTTAAAAGAGTTATAAATAATCACATTCTCTATATATAAGAGGGCTGGAGCTAGAGCATAGATCTAAACTTAAATTGAAGAGAGCTCCATCGTCGAAACACTATCGCCATCCAACCTCTGTCATCAGACCACCAGCATCAAGCCTCCACTGCTGGAGCATGATTGTGAATCACCATCGTCTGACCCCTATTGTTTGACCACTATCATCATATCACCATTATCCGGCCAATATCACATACCACTATCATTTGAACACCACAATCAGACCATCACCGTCCAACCATTTTTGTCTGGCTACACTTTTAATCATTGCCATCTGACTATGGCCACTAATTATCACCCAACTTTAGTTCCCTCGGCAATCATCATATGATTGTTATTTTCTGACCATTGTTTTATGACTATCATCTTCCAACCACCATCTCTCAACAATGATCTCCGAGCTACTATTGCCCAACTACTATGATGCACCCATCACCATAAATATCAATGCACATCATTAGTTATACGATTGATGCACGACATTGAAACCAACATCAATGCTAGCTGACTTCATCAACTACCTTCACCATCAATATCAACTCATGCCATCCCATTAAGGCTAATACACACCTTTGACACCAACTTCATTTCCTAACATCAAAACTAATTTTAAGAATGGACTTCTTGGTTTATAGTCTTCTCTCCTCAAATGAGAATGATTGAACATATCATAGAAGATCTTATCAATATAGCTCCAATGCCCCCAAGATTCTTAAAACTTCCAATATGAAATCAATCATCTACAATTAGTATCTATTATATTGTATCAACACATTTATTAATTATGGGCAATAATATAATTTTTAACTGATAATATGCACTAATTGAATCATTTTAGCTGGATTAGATTGCGTAATTTTTTTTCTTTTTCGAGTATTCTACATAAAAATTCTTGTGTCACTTGTAGCTCTTTTCTTATATAAACATATGACATACATTCATGCAAAATTAAGATGTTAAACACATTCTATCTTTCTACTGCTAGGAATTTTCTAACATGCATCAACACATATGCAACCATGTTTTAATAATATTAATGATTTATAATTATTGATATCATATCTACTAAATTTACATAAATATGTTCATTTTATGGTATATTAATATCATATGTAAATCCTCATTGCTTAATTCTTACATCATTAAGACACTCAAATATTTAAAATATGATCTATAGTTAAGAGAATCAATATAGGTCATTTAACGAAATGTTTTGGGGAGTTTGAATAAATTTATTAAAATGCTGCTCTAAAAGAGCTATGAAAAATAATCACATTCTTTACATAGAAGAGGGTTAGAGCTAGAGCATGGATCTAAACTTGAAATTGATGAGAGCTTCGTCATCAAAACACTATCGTCATCCAACCTATGTCATCAGACCGCCACCATCAAGTCACCACTGTTGGAGCATGACAGTTGAATAACCATCATCTAACCTCTATTGTCTGACCACAATCATCATATCACCATTATCTGACCATTATCACATACCACTATCATTTGAACACCACCTTCAGACCATCGCCATCCAACCTTCTTTGTCTGACCACACTTTTAATCATTACAATCTGACTATGACCAACAATTATCACCCAACTTTAGTCCCCTTAATAATCATCATATGATTGTTCTTTTTTTTTTTACAACTGTTGTATGACTATCATCTTCCAACCACCATCTCTCAAATATGATCTCCAAATAAAAAAAATAAAAAATAATAATCTCCAAACCACTGTTGCCCAACTACTCTGATGCACCCATCACCATAAATATCGACACACATCATTAGTTATAAGGTTGATGCACAACATTAATACCAACATCAATGCTAGTTGACTTCATCAACTACCATCACCATCAATGTCAACTCATGCCATCCAATTAAGGCCAAGACACACAGTTGACACCAACTTCATCTCCTAAAGTCAAAACTAATTTTAAGATTGGACTTCTTGATTTGTAGTCTTCTCTCCTCAAAGGATAATGATTAAATATACCGCAAAAGATCTTATCAATATAGCTCCAATGCCCCAAGATTCTTACAATTTCGACTACGAAATCAATCATCTACAATTAGTATCTACTATATTGTATCAATACATTTATTAATTATGGGCAATAATATAATTTATAACTAACAATATACACTAATTGAATCATTTTAGCTGGATTATATTGCATAATTTTTTTCTTTTTCTAATATTCTACATAAAAACTCTTGTGTCTGTTGGAGCTCTTTTCTTATCTAAATGTACGACATACATTCATGCAAAATTAAAATGTTAAACATATTCAATCCTTCTACCGCTAGGAATTTTCTAACATGCATCAACACATATGCATCCATGTTTAAATAATATTAATGATTTATAATTATTGATATCATATCTACTATCATACATATATTCAATTTATGGTATATTAATATCATATCTAAATCCTAATTGCTCTCTTATCATATGCTTTCTCAAAATCAACAAATATCATATGAAAATCTTCCCTACTCTCTCTATGTCTCTCCATCAAACTTCTCAGCAAAAAATATAACTTTCCATATATATATATATATATATATATTCCTCAGTACCCGACTCGGTACTGCCGCTCAGTACCGCTCGGTACCGCGTACGTAGCACATTTTAATTGCGTTCGGCGTCCGCACAGAATAATTTCTACTTTTTTGGGGTATATAGGTCAAATAAAATAAACTCACACACACATCACATATGCGAGACTCAAACCCAAAACCTTTCGATTGATATCCAAAACTCTCAACCAACAGATCAACATGAGTTACGTCAAATGATTCTCTAATTTGGCACACTTCCAAGCTTCGCTTCCATTGCAGCTGCAGCCTGCCTGTTTAACGAGATTTCAATATAATGACAGGATTTTTTTGGCTATATCTCAAGCATTTCCATTACAGAGTAGACAATATGTACTGGATCAGCTGGGGTAAAAACACACTAACATAAACATTCTGTTAATTACATGTTAAGGCTTACAAAGAGCAGCTCTAAGCCCAAAACTCAAAACAGCTCGAACAAAAAGAAAGTTCTCTCTACAGATTTAGGCTTCGTTTGTGACAGCTTTCTTTATGATTTTTAAAGCAGCTTCTTCGTACAAAAATTATAATTTTTATACTACAAACTGTTTAAATAAGCAATAAGAAAGTTATCCCAAACGAAACCTTAAATGGCACTTACAGCATCAGAAGATCCTGATAAAGCGAATATCAGTTGGCCATTTTGAAGATGAGAAGGAAAGGGAGCTTTGCAAGTAGCAATGTGAGATTTAAGCCTCGGTAGATTTGGATGAGCACTCTTACAGTGATGGCAACGCAGTTCTGAGGACAATAATTTCTCATCTTTTATGGTCGCCAATCCATTCATTTTGATCTCTTCCTGGACATCAATAGAATCACGAAAGAATGGAGTATTGAATGAGTTCCAATGCTTTTTCTTTCTCAGATGTGTTGAGTCAAAATCCTGGCTGATAACATGAAGGTGCAGTTGCCGCATTGAAGGAACCTGCAAGTAAGAGAGTTGTAAGGTTCATGGACTGCAAAGATTTTATTTACAAAATAGACAGAATAAATGATCATAATGGTTCCTAGACTTTTTGAGTGTTTTTATTTATCACAAATTTGTTCAGAAGCTTAATTTAGTCCCCAACTCATCAAATCAAATCCAGACACATTTGCTCCTATTGGCAATTTCATAATTTTTTGGATGAGAATTGATAGAAGCTTTTTTGTAAGAGAATTTTAGATTTTTTAGGCTCAAATTTCATTTGAGGTTATATTAGATATTGGGGATGATCCTAAAAATGTTCAAAATGCCCCTTTAGAAAAAGCTTCCTCCCAATCTCCGTGCAAAAAAACAACAAAATTAGTTAATATTTGATGAGTTGAGCAAACAAACAAGCAAACAACAACATCAAGCCTTTGTCCAACTTTGTGGGGTCGGCTATATGAATCCTTTTTCTCCATTGTGTTATGTTAAAAGTCAATTTCTCATTTAAATCTAATAAAAAAATATTATTTCTAATATTTTCTAACCAAGTCTTTTTTAGTACTACCTCTGCCTTTCTTAACATCAGTCAAATAAAATACCTCTACTTTCCTAACCGGGTTATCGGAAGGCTACCATTTTATGTGAACAAATCATTTAAGGCGACTCTCCTTAATCTTATCTTCCAATAGAGCTACTCCAACCTTTTTATGTATATGCACATTTCATATTCTATCTATAAGAGTAAAGCCACTCATCCACCTGAGCATCCTCATCTATGAACACTTAACTTGATGAGTTGAGCGACTAAATTAAAAACCTACGAAAAAGCAATAACAATAAAATCAAGCCTTTATCCTACTATGTAGGTTCGGCTACATGAATCCTTTCATTGTTATTGTCAGGTCTCAAGTTTTGGATGAGAAAAATGGAGGATTGTGTTAAGTAATCATGACATGAATCATTTAATAAAAACCTAAGAAAATGTGAGACTAAAATAGCCAAATCTAAAAAATTTAGGATCACATTGATCATTTACTCTACAATAGATCAGTCTGTTCTGATGCTAAGCATACCGAATGATAACCAAGTCTAAATACTAGAGATGGGTCATGACTACTGAACTGCTCAGCCCATTTAAGCCCAGCAGCATGCATTTTCTGCAACATTGGCAGATGTTCTCTCCGGATATCTGCAAGGCAATCAAGACCAGGAAGCCTTGATGTAACCAGAATGTGCTTCTTTGCCTGCTTTGTGTAAAATCAGGCAGAGAATTTAGAAGTGAAACGGCTAAAGGTTTACTAAAAAAAAATTCAAATAAAAATGCACTAACCTTGGGATAAAGGTCATTTAAAACAACAAAATCATCTGATATCTCGACAACATCAAGATTATGCTTCTCAGGATGCATTGCAATCTGATGAAGAGCATGAGCCCATGAGCCCCAAGAACTCTTTGCAGAATGATCACTTCTCTCGCTCTTTTGCTCCTCTTTCTCCAGCATACCAGGTAAGCCTCCAGAGTCACCATTGTATTTCGCTGAAATAGAATTGATTTTAGAATGCTAATAGTTTAGAAACACTTCTAGAGTTGTTTAGTTCTTCACGTTGAAGAAAGCTAAGGATGGAAAATACTTACATTTTTTATTGCAATCAGAACCATAGCTAACTTCTCGCTTGCTCTTCTGCTCGCTGGATGAACGCTGACATTCAACTACTGCCTCAAAAGATTTGCAAACTGATTTGGTTGGTTCAGACTTTGAATCTCCGCTATATTCTTTTTGATAATTTTGGCTAAGTGCAATAGACGCAAAGTTATTAAAAAGTGATGAGTATGCCTCATAAAGAACCTTACAACCTTTGACATAGTCATCTTTAAGGCAGTTTGGTCTTTGAGGATTCATATTTGGTCCCAAGACATGTATGACATAAGTCACACCTTCTCTTTGGTTAAGGGGAGATGTTCTAGGAACAGGAACAATAATGGAACTTCCAGGGCTAATAGTGTCAGCCTGTTCCTTGGTGGCAATTTCTAAGGCCTCACCTCCAGCGCTAAAAATGGCTGCATTAACTCCTCCTCCTCCAGGTTTCAGCCGCCTGCAAATACCAGTTGTCCATCTTGTGTCACTTCTGTTTCTGAGTCAAAATTCTTATTAATAAGGCTTACTGACATGAAAGGTAATCCAAATGAAAATCTGAGAAATAATGCATTTATACAACGGAGTAGAACAAACAACTATCAAAAAAATGTTGGAATTGATGACCGGCTAATGTTCAATGTGTAGAAGTGGCTATCAGAATCATTAAGACAGTAATCCAACATCAATGGTTCGCACAGACAAATATACGCCAGTAACATTAGATTCTATTATCATAAAAAAAATTCAAGACGCAGGACTAACAAGTGAGGCTTAAGCTGTCATGGTCAACATGATAAACATTAGGCTCACGTAATAGGGAAACTTAAAAAAGTTTTTAAAAGTATGAAAAATTAAATTCAGCCAAGAGTAAACTACAGATAAATATACACCAAGTAACATTAGATTCTATTAACATAAAAAAAAGATGCAAAATGCAGGAATAACAATTGAGTTTCAGCTGTCACGGTCAACAAAAGAAACATTGGGCTTCCATAATATGGAAAACTTTGAAAGCTCTTAAAAGGTTTGAATGGTTAAATTCAACCAAGAGTCATGATAATTAATATAGAAGTATAAAAGTTGATGGCCCCACGGAACCCTGCAGTAGAATTCTGAGATTGGAAAGAAGAAGAAGAAAAAGAAGAAGAAGAAGAGGAGGAGGAGAAGTTTACCTTAACATGGTGGTAGCGGCAAGAAGTGTTGCCGGCGGCGGTTGGAGTTGCGCGAGAGGAGAAACTGAGAGGAAGAGTGAGCCATGCATGAGGGAGTGTCGTGTGCGTGAGTGTGAGCCGTGAGGAGTGAGTGACAGTTGTCGTGAGTGTATGGGGAGTGTTTAAATGAAATATAAAGGATATTTTTTAATATTATTTAGATTTAGTTATTTTATTAATTACTATTTATAATTAATTTTAAATACACAATTTATATGAATTTTTTTTTAATTAAGCGCGCATCAACTCGGTCGCTATGTCATCATTGTCATCATTTGCGCTCATCGATGCCGCCTCGATCCGCATGCATGAAATTTAAATTTTTACTGATCGATGATCCTAATTAATATGGGTGTCGATCTTAGCTATTTTCGTTGCTCTGGATGCGTTGGCGCTATCTGTTTTGCAAACGAAGGCTATTTCGGCAATTTAAGTTTTTGGTTGACATGCACCAAGTGAGTTACGCGTGATGTCGCACTCTTTCGTTTTAGAAACATATCGTGCGTTGTCAACTCGACCCCAACACTAGTATTGAGGTCAACAGTTTCATAGCGTAATTATGGTGGAGTGTCACTTTAAAGTATTCAAAGTACCATTATGAAAGAAAATTTATTTTAATTCTAGAGCTATGGGATGGTATTCTTAAAAACTTTCAAATAGATAATTTTTAGTATTAGTTCTTTATTGTCACTCTTGAGTTATTTTATCTTGATTTTGTCTTAAGATATTTGGAGCTTCTTTTTTATGGTGAGATTAAGTTTATTTGGGTTTGGGGTTAAGTATTTTCTCATGATACTTTAATTTGTAGACCTGTGTGATTTCTCTATATAATAGATTGGATACTCTATTCTCTTCCATAGAGATAGGCTTATTATGACGTTTGATCTATTTTTTAATATTTTGTATATTCATCGCATTCACTTATGATTGCCAATTTTGCACAAGTTGTGTCTTTCCTAACGTAAGGAAAAAGTACCTCTATCTCCCTTAGCATCTTATGGACTTCATGATGACAGTACTTAGTCGGTAGGTTGCTTTCAGTAGAAAGCCTATCAGTAGTAGTTGTCAGGCCTAGGGAATAAAAAAGAGGCCACTCCACACAAGTACCAATTTGTTCGAACTAAAAATAATTGCAAGGAAATTTTAGGATTTGTGCCCCTATAGGCTCTAAAATCAATGGAAAATACACAGATACTACACTTAAACCATATCAAATCTTACCAGTTAGAAGCATTGGCTATCACATTACAATGCAGTCCTCCTCCTGTATAAAGCCGAGTTATATCTCCTGCATATGTTGAAAATCTGGTGGTATCAACATTTTTCTCTGATGCTTTGACCTTAACCAGAGATAGCATCTTTGATTTAGAACTTAGATCCACCAGAATAAGTTTGACCTTGTCAACCTTACTAAAAAAATCAGCAACAGCCTCTACTATCACATCAGATGCTTTATCCATATTAAACTGAAAATCTGACGTTGAAATGGATGGAAAAGCTAGAGTGGGAGCATCATTCCATTGGAAATCACTTACTGAGGGATTTAGCAACATATCATTCTTTTGTTCATCTTTTCCAACCTCACTTCCCTTTTCAATTCCCATAGGACGGGGGTTATTTTCATTGTTTTCATGCTTAGGAGCAGAATTCTGAGAACAATTTCCATCAGTGTCAACTTTCTTAAAAAATTTCATAATCCCTTGTTGAACTTTAGCATCCCCACTCTTTTGACCAATAATACCAGGTGGCAAACTATCAAATAATCCCAAAAAACTATATGTATTCACAGCAGTTTTAACATCATCATCATTCTGACAAAATGTAATCCGAGAGAATCCCTCATTCAAATTCGGTAGCACCTTCTTCTGTAGCATCCGGTTGACAACAGCCGCAGCTTTTCCCCCTTGCAAGTTCCCTTCATGCCCAGTTCGCTGCACTGACCGAGATATACAAACCCGAGCAGGCAAATCAAGAACCACTGCGTGCACGTCAGCTCGTGCTCCACCGAGCTTCACAAACTCGGACCGCTGCTCAAGCTCCAAATTGCATCTATCAATTAAGACATTCTTACCTTCCTGTAATGCATTGGCTGCACTCTGTAAACACTGAGCTTTAGTTCCAGCTTTTCCATTTGCTATGGTGTCCTGCTTGAAATGTCAGTTAAAAAACAGTAAGCAAACTACATTTATGGAGAAATAAAAGGCTTTGTAAACTCAAACAAGCAGAAATATCATAAGCAAACTAATGTCCATGCATGGTAAGTGTAAGTTTCAGCCAGAATAAATGCTAATGAACAGCCTTCGGTCAAGTAAAAAAAAAAGTTCTATCCCAAGCAATGATAAAACAGTGATATTGTCTCAACATAAGTTACAAAATGGATAGGATAGTTTCTTTGTCCAAAGAATAGTTTCTTAAAGTTAGAAGATTTTGATAACTAGGAGAATGAAAACATGAATTTCCAGTCCCTCAAGGATATATATGTACAATGAATTTCCCCCAAAAAAAGCCAAAAGTTTATGCCAAATAATCAATGCACAACTTTCACCACATAAAAGAGTGTTCTGGTAAACTGAAGAAATAAGCACAGGATAATAATATATTAATCAGAGTGAAACTTCAAACCTAACTTGCTTCTAACCCTTAAAAAGATCAATTCATGAATTCAAGAAAAAACGTATTCTTAAGAATATGTTATTAGCAAAAGGGCTAAATTACATCAAATACCAAAAGTATATCATTTTTGGTACACCCATCAAGCATGCAGTTATCGTACCCATATTACCACATGTGTGAAACCATATATAACAGAAACCTTCACCATCCATTATTGTGATATTCCTTCATTATTGAGAATATTCTTCTTTATAGTTTCCTTGTTCTGCCTGATGATATGTATATATTTAAATGGAGGTTGAAATCTTTTATAATTTTTCCCCCAAACTTTTTTCTAAATTTCCGTCCATTTTCTTTTCCTAAAAATACCCCCATCTTTTCATGAATTTTTTGTTCCAATTTTAACCTTCAGTTTTCTAACTATCCCTTTGTTTGTTATATAATAGAATATGTAAGAAAGACCTTTTTGGCATTGTTTTAAGAAAAGCAATTCATTAATTAAATACATTTTTGTTTGTTACCCATCTTCTGTAAAGTATGAAAATAAGGTTCAAAAAAATAATTATGAGTGATTATTAGTCATTTCAAAATTGTTTCATATCTTATATAAATTAGAGGACGTATTAAATATTTAGCCATCCTTAAATTACACATTTAAATATCAATATTTATCAAATTTAATATTTTGTGTTTTCTCTCTCAAATTACTAAATTTATTGGCATAAATAAATTTTATCAAAACTTTCTTTATTATTCTCTCAAAGCAATTGTTTAAATGACCTGTGGCAAAAGCAAATTGATGTAGCGCCCAATCTAATTGACATGCAACATCGTTAAATTAACATATCACATAAGTAAAGATTAATACGTATATGTGCATTTCATGTTTATTATTCCATTATAAGAAAGTTAATTCAATAGATTGGTCGCAGTTGAACCACACACACTTCAAAGTTTATGGATAAAAAAGTATTAAATTAATAAATTAAATTATATTTTAATATTCAAATAATTTTCATGTCCAAGAAAATACTATCAATATTAACTTGAATTAATTGGGCCTAAGCTTTACAAATTCTATAATGAATCAGATGTTATTTTCAAATATGATGGAATAAATACCATTTTTACTATCCATATTTATTATGTTACAATAATTTTTTTATCAAAATAGTATATGACTAAAATTTTAAAATATAAGAATGGACACAATTTCTTTAAATTATTTTATTATCTTCATTTCACTCAATTTTCAAGCTACATGTATTTTTTTAAAACTTGAAAATGTAATTCTGTATACTCATTGACAAGGCACCATGCTAGCATGCCTATATCTGCTTGCACACAACAACAATTCAATAGGAATCATTGTTGTTATTTCTCTCTCTTTTAAAATGATATGAGAGCCAAGTTATTTTTTATCATCTTCTACTCATGAACTTTCCATGAATACCTCCCGATCTCATTCTAGTTGAACTACATCTTCTACACAACAACATCAACACTACGCATCCTTCTCTTAAATTTTGAACCTCCCATCCTTGTCACCTCCAATCTTGATAATAAGGTGGACGACAAACAACGCCTCCTTTGTAATGTTGTCATCAAACCCAATCACTAGGCAGGGCCACCTTTGATTTGGGATGTCCTCTTCCATTTTTGCACATAGTGTGCAAGCAAAGTCCCCATTCAATTGTCTCCTCAATAGTGACACAATCTCATTTACCATGCCACCGACACCAATTAAACCATAATTAACCTCATTATGTTGTCGCCTCTTTCCCCATCGTTGATGTACGGTGCATCACACTCTGCCCCCATCAAATCCCCTTAAACTACTAATTGTTCCTTGCAACGCACCACAATGCCCTGCTCTAATTATGCATGTTATCGGGATCTCATCATCCATACCCCATTTGAGTGCGCTTCCTCCTCCCTTATATCACAATTCTCTCTTCAGCCATCAATGGTGAAGAATGTGGCGCTTCACCTTAAATCTGTGTACTACTAAGGCTTCCATGGTTGCAAGTTCGGTCAATTAAAGACTTGAGCCTATGGATTCCCTATAGATTCTAAATTCCTAAGAGTGGAAGACATTGGCTTTTATGCTCATTTAGTGGTTTCATCATTTATGCTAGGAAAGGCTTTGCTTCAATATTTTAGGCAAGGTTCTTGTCTCAATGGTGCCATAGAACTTGACACTCCATCCTCTAGGTCTTAAATAGTGAATCCCCACTCCTCAACGACCTCAAAACTAATCTCATCTCTTAACTCTACCTCCTCTAGTGCCTAGAGAAGGCCCTTCACTTCCTCTCAATTGCCTCTTTGACCCTTCCCTCACTAATCTAACTTCAACATCATGTTGTAACAAAATCATGTTGCTCTCGCCACACCTTGTTTCAATTGGAATCTCCTACTCCATCATGGCCATGATCTCTTGGTTTTTCCTAAATCCATAAACTATGAGACTCCCATCTTCAGACACTTCAGTTGCAATCAACTGTGACTTCATCCTTCTTTGTCTGGTGACATTTGTGTCTTCTGATCTCGTCTTAATAAGAATCAAGAGTAAAGGCACTCTCATCCTTCATAAAAACCTATATTGATCCCTCCATCACGCCTTTACTAAAACCTCTTTCGACACTCACTGTTGATATTTTTGTCGGTGCTATTCAGAAAAAAATTATATTGACAATGCAGATCTATGAGTATTGTTTACACGCTTGTTATTTCCCTCCATATTGTATCCTATATTCCTATCATCTATAGGTCTTAGTTCATCCTCTATTTCAGGATCTGTCCATCCTCTATTTGAAAATGTATTTATGCTCATAACAATTTGCTCACCCTCTATTTGAGGATCCTACCCAAGATTTCTCTATCACAAATCTCAATGCCACACTCTGCATCCAATCCATAGATTTCACGAGCATTGGCTCTTCTCCTACGACATTTCACGAGCATTGGCTCTTCTCCTACGACACTTAAAATCTCAAGGCAACCAACCTTCAACCACTTGATCTCCAATCATTCTTCCAAACTCGAGTTAATATCTTTTACACTTCCTTGAGTTTGTAGGAGAATACTATCATATCAACATGATCACATGTGTGAATTCATATGCAAAAGAGATGTCACTATATATTATCATAATATTCATACATTATTAAGGATATTCACATTTATCTTGTAATCGTATATAGAGGCACGTATATGCATATACACAACAACAATCAATAAAGTTATTTCCATTCCCAACTTTTAAAACAACAATTAAAAATCCATGGTGATACCGTTTTGTTATTTCTCAAATTACTCATTAAAATTACAAAAATATACAAATCTCACATCAAAAATATATATAGCAGCTTTCAGGGACACCAAGAATAGAATGAATTGGAAAGAATGAGAGGAACAATTCTCTACATTCAACCTTGATAGGAGGACACATTTGCATAGCTAGAACGCTCATCCATCTAGATATTGCCCAATTTGTGCCAACGTGAGTACTCTTAGCATTCGAGTTCCTGAGCAAAGTCAGGACATTACACAAAAAAATAGGTCACTGATTAAGAGTTCTACTTCATTACTTTTTAGCAAATTTACTAGGAATCACAACAAAGTTCAAATTCATGATCTAATAAGTTTCAAACTATTACTTCGAAAAAGAATTAATCGAGAGTCTTCTCATTAAGACTAGAGCGACGACAATTCACATTCACAATAAAGATATGCCCTAAAGACAGTACATTTAAACACAAAAGGGCAAAAAAGAGGGGAGTATACCTGACAAATACGAGTCCAGGTCCGTCGAGCGGCCCTAATGACATCGTTGCAGAAGGTTGTTTTCCCACTTCCAGGAGCACCGACGAGGATCACAACTAAGGGTTTTCCCTCTTTCCCTTCTGAAAGAGAGAGATCAGAAATGAATGGTTAATCGCGAGCGCAAAATAAGAAGTCATTGAAGGAGATTAAAAAAAAAAGCATATAGTCAACAGAAGCAATTTTTACCATCCAAGAGAGAAGAAACCGTATCAGCCTCTTCCGCCATTGGAATCGAAGATAGCATTGTAAGCGCCGATCGATGAGATCGTTGACGATTATAAGTTTATGACAAAAGAACAGAACCATCGAAGCGGAATATACAGAGGCCATATCTCTAGTAAAATACCGAAAAAAAAAATCGACTTGTGGCTGCTGGGATTCGAGCCCAGGTCTCCACGGCCACAACGTGGAATTCTAACCACTAAACTACAGCCACAGTTGTTGGGTTGGGGTTAAATTAAAGCTTTTTATTAAGTTTATTAAATATTTTCATTAAAAAACATATAATCATAAATTATGTAGTCCAATTTAATGTTGCAGACTAATACATCTTGTGATTATGTCTTATTCATATAGTTTATATTTTCAAAAGAATTTTCATATTCAATATTTTATGCATATTTCATCATCTTGTATATTTTAATAAAAATTTGAATATTTTATTCAAAAAGAAAAAATTTTAGCACATATGCAAGTACTTGCACTTGTTTTTCACTTGCATGACCTCAACCATATTAGTCTTTGAATTTTATTGGCAAGCAATATTTTTTAATACCCACAAAATCAATCATTTTTAACACATGATTTATATAATATAATGTTTATAATAAAGGTTTAAGATATAAGAAAACATTGAATTGATGTCGCATTTTAATGATATATAATGTACAATTGAATATCCAAAAAAATGAGTTTAAGCCAAGTTGCGTTGCTTCAGGCCACGTAGGTATGGTTCAAGTTAATAAAGTTTGGTCTAGTTGACCTAGGGGTGTAAAGGAGTCGAGTCGAGCTCGAGTTAGGGGCTCAACTCGAGCTCGAGCTCAACTCGCAACAGTGTAATGAGCTCATTGAGCCGCTTGTCAAGCCGCTTAATTTGGCACTTAGTTTTTGTTTTCCCACCCAGTTTTTGGCTTCCCACATGTTTTTTATTCTATAAATTGTTTTTGTTTTTTCCACCTAGTTTTAAAGATTAACTCTTTGGGAAAGAGCCACCCGGTTTTTTGTTTTTCCTCCTCTAATATAACTAATGTTGCATCTTTTGTGATACATCTTTTAAATTTTATATAATTGTTTTTGAAAGTTTCACTTTTAGTAATAATTAAAGCTACATCATTTATTAGCATTGATATTTGAAAAAAAATTATTAAGTATGTGCCTATAGAAGACTTGAACTTAATTTTTTTAAAACTTTTAAATGTTAAAAAAAATATTAATAAATAAATAAAATTCAAACAATAATTCAAATCAGCTGACGAGCCGAGCCTTATCAAGCTCGTTTACTAAACAGGCTCGAGTTAGAACTAAAGCTCGACTCATGAGCTCGATAAGCTCAGCTAGCGAACCTATAAACAAGTGATTACAGTATATAAAAACGTATTGGCTCGACTCGTGGCTCGATGAGCTCGACTGATAAGCTTGGCTCGACTCACACCCTTAAGTTGACCTCAGTTTAAAGGAAGAACCAGCCTATAAATGAATTTATCTTGAGCATGTGATTACAATATATAAACTGAACCGAATTAGATGAGTATGAATTAACAAGTTGATCATAGTGAATGCAACAAATGAAGAAAGCCCCAATGACTTGTAAAGTGGTCCACTTCTTTCATATTAGAAACTATTCATCAGTTGTTCAACTATTCATTCACCTATAAACACCAAGCCATTGACTTCTTATTAGATTAACGATGACTTCCACATTCAAGAGATTCAAATTGGGCTACACGATATTATATGTTTCTCTTATTTTCTATATAGTTATATATGTAGGCAATTATGTAATGCTCAATTCTCATACCAAATTTTTAAATAGATGGTCAAGAGGAGAGATCAACTTACATAATTTCTTGTACTCAATCTAATTTTATAGAAATCATAGAACTTCTCACTCTAGAATATATTCTCTATATATTTCTCTATTTTTTAATCAATAGTTATAGTATAATTTGATGTGATTCATATACAATTTTGAACTCATCTTCAATGATGTGAAAAGCATGGAGCATGCTACATACTAGAAGAGTAGTATTTCATAAAGCATAGTAGCTATGCAGAAGAATGTATGAATATTTTGAAAAATCAAGAATTCATCACTATTAGGCAGTTTGCTGAATTTGAAGAGAAGATGATGAGAATGACCAAGGAAACACTAAAATAAATCCCAAGAACACTCATAGGGTAGAGTTGCAAGAAAAATCTTCTTGTTATATTATAAGGAGAATAGGACTTTCTAGAGCTAGAGCATTAACATATACTCTAACCCAACTATAAAAAGCCGCAACTCTTTGTCAAGAAAAAAAGCAGACTAAAAAGTGGATGTCATTAAAATGATTACTCTAGGAAAATTATTGAGGATAACCCCCTAGGAAAGTTCAAGATTCTTAGTATAGATTTGTAAAGGGGAAAAAAGGATCCAACCTACCACTTCGTCTTTTTGAGTTGCTTGTCTCCTCACTCGACATCAATGTTGCAATGAAGTGTGGATCATTCTTCACTACTTTCAATGAATCACCTTTGAATTGGTTCTCGCATCTTCCACTTTGTGTGATTGTTTAATTCAACAAGTTTAAGAGGATGTCGTTGAATAATTTGTAGGACTTACTATGAATAAGGCATGAACCAGGTGAGTTATTGAGGAGTTCTATAGTTTAACTATAGAAAGAAATGTTGGATGTGAAGGACTTAGATCTAACTGAGATCTGAGCTGCTTTAATTCAAGGTTTATGCTTAGAGATGTACTCAGCTTACAACAGTTAGAGACTTTAGCCCAATTATTGGAACTCATCAATAGTCATGTCAATATAGAGAAGTATAACACTGAGGCAAGTGCTGATTTAATATCATGGAGGAAGGAGAAGAGGTATATATTACATAAATTCTAGTAATTTTATACCAAAAAAATCACCCCAAGATATAAGGGTTGAAATGAGATTCTACAATGATTAGGGAAGAACTACGCACAATCAATGAACTCATCCATTTAAGGGAGATTACAAAATGAGGAGTGAGGAAATGATTGTTGAGGTGAGAGGATGTTACCACATCTAATTCACCAAATGCTAACCATGACTTCACTAAGATCCTTTATGGGTGAGCTCATTTAGGAAATTTAAAATAAAAAACTCATCAAGAGACATACCCTTATAAGAGTTGGAGGACACCTCCATGATCAGTCAAAGTGTTATGTGTGTCACTACAATCACACCATCATGCTGAGGAGTATTGACACATCAAGATCTAGGTGGAAAGCTTGATAAAATTTGGTAAATTAAAAGAGTTTAATCTTGCAAATACAAGAAGGATATAGAAGGCACCAATGGAGGAAGCTTGCAATGAACCAATTTTGGCATAGGAAATTCATATTGTTTTGTTTTAGCAATTTATATTGGAGTAGGAGACGAGGCATCTCTCCAAGCTAACCTCAAATGATTTCATTCAAGAGAGATGAATTTGGCCGATACATTGAAATCACCTATCACTTAAGTGTCACCCATCATTTTTAATAAAGCTAATTGAGCAATGAATGAAAAATCATACAATGATGATGTAACCTTTATGCACTCACCATGAACTATAAATCAACCATATTTTAATGGATATAGGAAGCATGGTGACATCATATTCAAAAGAGATTATAAGATGATGAACTTGGATGCTTCTTACTTAGCGCTAACTTTTGAGCCTCTCTTTAAATTTTTTGGGGAGTTCAAAGAGAAGGGAGTGAATGTGTTGTCAATTGCTTGAGGTGAAAGGTGAAATACAATTCACTTTAATAGTTGACTTTATCAAAGTCGACATGCTAACTACTTTTAATGTCATCGTTGGCTAACCACTGCTTAACATATTTCAAGCAATCATCTCAACATATCATATCACCATAAAGTTTATGATTGGAGATCATGTGGTGATAGTGAGAGTTGACTTGTTGTAGTCAAGAGTGTGATATTTAAAAGCAGTGAGAAATGCACAAGAAGAAATAATCCAACTAGATGTCCAAAAGGGATTTGGTTTGAAGAATATTGGATTCATTGAGGAAATGTCAATCTAAGAAGGGAATCAAACTTGTAGATTTTAAATAAGAACTAAACTGAAAAAAGAAAAAAAAAAAAGGGCTCAGTTGAATGTAACTATGAAAGAAAATGTAGATTTATTCGTCTGGTCAGCTATTGGGTGTTAACATAAATGTCCTATGCCACCGGCTTAACATTAATAAGAAGGTAAAATTGATTAAGCAAATGATTCAACCAATCGTGACAATGTTAGCTTAGTCAATTTGTAATGAAGTTCAAAAACTCCTTAAGGTTGAATTCATCAAAGAAGTTTGATATTCGGTGTGGATTTACAATATTATAATGACACATGAGTTAAAAGACTAGTTGTACTTATGTGGGCCATGACACCTATAGTGGGACCCCTAATAGCTTCCCTGTGTATTATGTTAAAAAAATTGGGTTTTTTTATGGGATGATGCAATCATAATGAGCGTGTGATGCCCGACAGCTATCAGCCACCTCTTGCACGAGTCCATACCCAATTTTTCAGCCTAAATAGTCTATATCATATGTTTTATGGTATTTTCTCCATTTTTTGATAGTGTTGACTTAACTTTGGCACTTCCAAGCTCTGAAAAGCCTTTAATAGTAATTTTGAGAAATTTTATAAAGTTCAGTGCAAAATTTTTTAATAATTTCATTTAAATCAGCATGCCAACTTCAAAAAAAATATTAAAATTATAATTAACGAGATTTACTTGGTTCATGACCCCAATGGAAGGTCATTGTTGACATCCATAGAGAGGTTGCATCCAAAATTATTATTTTGTGCCTTAAAGAAATTATGAGACTTTAATATATATTTCGAACAATATGAGTTTCGAAGTTTGGAAATAGGGGCAAACTACATCATCATAAATCATTTATATTGGGCATTAATCTTGATATATATTAAACTTTGAGAGTTAAATCCATTAACATACAAACTTTAATTTTAGCAAGCTTTTAGTCAAAGATGAATGCAAAGATAGTAAAAGTGGTTAAATTTGAGTCTGAATAATGAACCTAAATTGAAAACTTAAAATATAATTAAAAACTTTAGGGCACTAATTGGATGACCGAGCAATCTCCAAATATTGATTACTTATAATCGAATCAAGCATCTCAATGAGACAAATACAACGAGCCTAAGACCGCTTAATTATAATAACTTAAGAGCACTTAAATTTTGAATGACTGCTCTACAATTAAGGGAATCAATACAGGTCATCAAATGGGGTGTTCTAGATTTTCTTCATTTTTACAAGGCATGCCACATTAATAAATATGTAAATAGGCCTCCATTCTCTACATGAAGGAGGACTTAGGGCTAGAGCTTAGATTTGGGCAAGAAATTCAATAGAACTTAGAGGCTCTAATAATCTTGAAACTCCACCATCGGAACGCTATTCAATCATCTTCAAACAATCACCATTAGAGCACCAACAAATCAATATCGTTGGACCACCACATGACTGTAGCCATTGGACCACCATCTAACCACCACTATCTAAATGCCCTTCAACCTCTTTTGTCAGACTATCGTCTCACTATCATTATCAAGCCATCACCACCCTTACCTAACTAATGGCTGCCATTTCTTATTGCATGGCTAGTTCCTCTGACCACTCTTTCCTGACTACGATCCTCCAACTATCTTCGACAAACTATGATCCTCCGACCACCATTGCCCAACTACAATCCTTCGACCTTTGTTCCCTAGCTACGATCCTCTAATCTCAGTCATTTGACTGCAATCCTTCAAACACAGATGCTTGAATACGGTCTATGACTTCCATCATGATACTATAATCCTTTAATCTTTATTACTAAACCTCAATCCTTCAACCTCCATCGCTTGACACGATCCACCAACCACCATTAACTGATTACACTACACCAAACACTATTATCATATTATGATACCCTTACCACCAACGCCCGATTATGATCCTACGATTACCTTCACTCAACTTGGTACACCCTCTCCCAATTACAGTTCTATGTCATCCATTGCCTGATCAAGGATTTCCAATTTTTGTCCATTATTGTTCGACTATGTCTCTCCAACTACCACCGGCCAATTACTCTCCTCCTACCTTCATCATCTGATTTTAGTCCTCTAACATCAGTAACCTGATTGCAATCCCCCAACTAGAGTCACTAGACTTTGATTCCCTTACATCGACCAACTATGATCCTTTGACCTACATCACCCAAAGATATTATCTCGACCAGCATCACCTTTCTACGCTCCTCAAACCATCATCGTTCAACTACAACCCTATGTCATACAATCTTTTGACTACTATTATTTGGCTACACTAACACCTGTTGACTTTAGCACATACCATTGCTAATGATGCCAACACACACAATTTTTTTTATAAGATTCATGTAGGCCATCAACTCCAACTCTAACTTCCAATGCCAACATGGGGATTTAGGTCTTCTTGGTCTCAGCTCTCCTCTCCTCAAAAAGGTATAATTAAACAAACAAGCAAATGATCTCTTAAAAAAAAACTCTCATGACATAAGCACTTCCAACTCAACAAGATAACATGTTATATATTATATTGAATCAATGCTTTCCCCAATAGAATGGTATCATTTGTCACTGATGATAAATACTAGTTGAGTCATTTTTACTATGCTGAACACTATGATTCTTCCGTTTTTTAAAATTTTTCTCGTAAAAATTCTGATGTCTCTTATAATTCTTGCATTCTTTTAAAATCCACCGTGAATGTTGTATCTTCATACATATATATACTTTTCTAACTTCAAATAATAATACATCACTCAATCCACCAACACTTAGAAGTCACTAAAAAACATGCATGCCAATAATCGCGTGGGCTAGAGTTGTGTGTTCAAGACTTGAAACACACTTTACAATAAAAAAATATACCCATGTTACTTAGATTAGCCATCAATTAATTAACTTCGCCTCCTACATTTTCCTCCACATCACATCACTCAATACCAACAAGGGACTCTTGTAATGAAATAAATCACATCATACCAATATAAAAAGGATTTTTTTATTAAAATATCTGATATTTAAAAAAAAAATTAATAGAATGTTGTAAGAATAGAATTTAATTATAAGATAGAGTTATTTATATTTAATATATTTATACAAAATTAAACACTAATTTAAAAGAAAATTAATGAGCTTACTTTGATTAAACAGATATTTAACTTATTTACACTCATATTTCCTCCAAATATATGACATACAGCATCAACCTCCATCTATTAGCATCTAATAAACATATACCACTCTCCATCAACCTCAAAAAAATTTGATTGAAAAAAACAAAGCCGCATATTAACATTATCCACATCAAATATGAAACATCCATTTTTTTTATTAACAAAAAAAATATTTACCACTCTACATCAACCTCAACCTCAACTTCTTTCTACTCCAAAGATCCAAAAATATTTGGATGGTGAGGATAGACTAAGTAAATAAATATCATTTATACATTTGAGATCATCCAAAGGATAAATTATTCTGTGCGTTGTTCGAAGGCCAACTAAAATATTCTGTATCACTTTTTTGCTCGGTACCAGTACAGGATACCGCTGTGTACCGGATGACTGGACGCATTCTAATTCACCTCCAAACCGTTCGGTGTTCACACAGAATAATTTCTCCATCCAAAGCTACCACATATATTTACTCATTTAAATGTTGGGTTTTGACGAATCTTAGTAAAGATAACATCCCCATTCAGAACTGAACCTACAAATTTCTCAACTTCCTCCATAGTCAGCTCGCCAGTATAAGCTGCAAATTTTCCTTTCCTAGGCTTATAAGAGAGGATAAACGTATCAAAGGACTTGAATCCAGATCGATCAAAAGAACTCAATATTTGTGCTTGCTTCTTGGCATCCAGAAGCGAATAAGAAATTGAATCACCATGACCCAAGCCTTGGCTCTGTTTCCTCACTAGTGTCTTCCGAGACAACTGAATCAAGTAAAAGAAACAAGTTAAAAACTCTCAAAAGTATATGCCTGGTTTTACAGGAAGTGACTTACAACAAAATTCTCAAGTATTTTGTATTTATACATCTAACATGAATATGTATAGATAAATAAGATAAGAATGATAATGATATGTATGTAAATCTCCCTTTAAAAATTACAATTGAGAAATTTGTTAAGGCTTCATTTGGGGCGGCTTTCTTACTGCTTCTTAAAGCAGCTTTTTAATATAAAAATTAAAATGTTTGTACTAGAAAGCTGTTTTAAAAAGCAGAAAGCTATCCCAAACGAAACCTAAGGTTTGTTTGGGCGGCTTTTTTACTGGTTCTTAAAGCAGCTTTTTAGTACAATTTTTTTTTTTTTTTGTACTAAAAAATTGTTTTAAGAAGCAGTAAGAAAGCCATCCCAAACAAAGTCTAAGTTTGATACTCACAGCTGACAGAATATTATCCAGCTTCTCCCTTGCTTTTTGTGACCGGAAGACGCCAATAAAACAAACAGGGGTAGCATCCCCACATAAAGTGTTCATGTTTGAAGGTGTGAGAAGAGGAATGCTCTTCTCTTGAGATTCAGTTTTCTTGGAATGGCTTGAAGCTGCCTTATTTTTCCTTTCAAAACTTTCCAGTAGAGATTTTAGCTCATTGATGCCAGACTGCAAATCTTTTACGGCAATCCCAGGCCCAGCTTTCAAAACATAGGTATCACCATTGCTCAGCCTTCCGACCAAGGCTGGAAGTTCTTTAACCTCATACTTCTTCAAAAAAGGGTGCGAGACATCATGAACCTACAATGACAATTAAATAAAAGTTGTAAAATGAATGAAGTGGCTAGCACTCTTCAGAGGGCAACGGCAAGAATTTGAAGTTGAAAATTTTTAAAAGAGTTTACAATCATCATTAAGAATCAATTTGGGGCAGTCGCAGCCTTGCAGATCTATAAAAAAATAGTTGTAGAACTAACTTGTGAAAAAATATAAAATTTGAAATGTGCTGTGCTAGGGTGTTTTAGGAGAAATTATTCTGTGCGGAAGCCGAACCCCATCCGGATATCTAAGCCCACGGCTCAGTATCGCTGACATGGCTCATTTTGGTTGGTATCCAAATATAGAGCTGCGTTCGACATCCACACAGAATAATCTCTCGTGTTCTAGAGAATTTTTTTTTCTTTTAAAATGTGAATCTTCTTAGTTAAAACGCTGCTTCTCACCATAATTTTCTTTTAGTAGTAAAAGAGCTATAGTCAAACAAAATTATATCAACTTTCTAAAAAATAAACTCTAAAAGAGCTGCCACAATCACACCCTAAGGCTTTGTTTGGGACGGCTTTTTTGTTGCTTCTTAAAGCAACTTTATAGTACAAAAATTTTAATTTTTATACTAAAAAAATTGTTTTAAGAAGCAACAAAAAAGTCGTCCCAAACGAAGCCTAAGTTGCAACATGTGAAAATAATGGTGTAAAGTCTTACCTCAGCATCATAGAAGGCAAAACGCTTACGATACAACCCACTAATAACACGCCACATGATAGGCGTATCTTTCTTCGTAGACAGCAGTAGCACCTGTGGAAGGTTCTCATTGATACTTGGAAACTCAAAACGGCTAAGATCTACCCTTTCTGAAATTCTTGGCAGGTGATCCTGGCAGAAACTTTTCAAACTTCTGGGATCAAACTCTCCATTATACTCTAACAATGAATCCCTGCCGTTGCTTCCATCTCTATAAATGAAAAGCCGATCCAATTTGGAAGATGGAACGCCAAGATCCCTACAAAGAGCCTGCTCAGTTTGGCAGTTTATCTTACCAGCCTGCGAAAGAGAGGATTAGTTTTCTTCTCATGAAGTCAGGCATGATAAAAATGTTCATAAATGCTAATATGCATATCTTCAAAATACCTTTACTGCTCCATGTAAAGAATTAGCAACTTCGGAAATTACTGATTCAATGGCATTATGTCCCTTTGAGGAAGAGGAGTAGAATAGTAATAGCCAAGTCATGCCTTGATCTCTAATTTTCTTATTGAAGGACGGCAAATCGATGTCTTCTATGTTTACAGGAGGAAATTCAGAGTTTGGCCCGGTACCTGAGCTACTAAAACCACCTTGATGATTCCCGTTATACTTTCCACTCGATCGAAAAAAGTTAGAAAAAATGTCGCCCATGTCAAAGCCGAACGGACTGCCACTAGTGCTGGAATCACCGCCGAAAGAGAAGGAGAATGATCTTGTATTACCCTGGCCACTCGTTGTTTGCCATCCACCAGGTCCGGAGGTGAAGTGCTCACCACCAGGACCACCACTAGAGAAGTACGTGTATCCTTCACGATTTCCAAAATTTCCCTCATTAAATCCTGTATTACCTTGTGCATCGCCATACAGATCATAGTTCTTCCTCTTATCCTCATCTGAGAGAATTTCATATGCTGGAACAATGAAGAAAACCAAATTAAGTAATACTAACTTTTAACAATGATCATTCATTGATATCACTAGGCATCCATTGCACAATAAGATAATATTTCAACCAAATTTATTTAATATCTTAAATAAGTAAATTAACAACAATATCCATTCATACAATAACAATCCGACCTTTAGACATGAAGGGCAAGAATGTAATGTGCAAGGGAAAGAGTGTCCTTGTTTGTGCTAAAGAGCGTTCAAGCTTTTACTAAAGAATAGCAATTTCACAAGACTCCTGACACTATTATTGGGTCTGGGTAGGGTTGTACTAAAGGGACTTAGCAATTTCACAAGGCTCCTAATATTATAAAGTCTGGGTAGGTATTGCTATAAATCTTATTTTGGTTCATCAAAAAGGACTTACTTTGATTCAATCACATGACCCAAATTGTTGATGCTCTACTGATGTAGGATTAAATGCTTAAAATAAATGTAAAAGAGTTTGCAATATTCTTTGATAAGAGCAAGTAAGATAATAAATATTAGCAAATTAAAACGATCAAATAAAACATAAGAGCGGTCACTTCCGTTTAGGCTAAATTACATGCCAAGCATTTGGAGAATCAAAACAATTTAGAAATTCAAGAACATGCAAAGTAAATAGCGTTCAACAAAATCCCTAATCTAACAATCAGATTAGAAACATAGAAAGTATACTCAATCCTACTTTTACTAAGCTTTGGCAACGGCGAAATAAAATCCTACGTTTACTAGGCTTTGGCAATGGCGAAACTCGACTCCTTGGGATTCGTCATCACCTACAAGATTAGGGGATTAGAAAGGTAATTGAAAAGGGGGAAAAGTTCACCTTAGTCAAAGTCCGGAAACAAGTAGTCGATATGTTGAAGAAGTTTGTCGTAGGAGAGGTCGTATTCTGTGTCCGGGTCAACCATCCATGCGAAAAGTCGCGATTTTGACTTCAAGAAGGGTTGTATGACAAGGAGATATTCTCCAATGGTGCTATAGTGGAAATAGTCCAGCGGAAACTGCTGGGCAGCAGTTTGATCTTTCCAAACAGCAGTTATTAGGCTTACGATTACTGGAGACGTGAGAGCAAGGGTTGGAATTCCTTGACGGCAGTCTTAGAAAATAGCAGACTCCATGTGGGAGGAGTTTGGGAAGGGTTTAGTGTAGGAAAACCAATGTAAAGGTGTTGGGAAAATTCGGCCAGTAGGGGAATATGGGAAAGAATTTTGCTTTTCAAAATTAAAGGCTGAATTTTGGTAAGAATTAAGAGGTGATTGCATATGTAGGAATTTCAGCCAGGTTAAGGGATGGGTTTTAAATTCTTTCCAAGTGAGAGTAGAGGATTAGGAAATAAATCATGAGGATTTATTAAAGGGGAGGGTCCGGCGGTTTAAAGATGAGGGAGGAGATTGGGGAGACATTCAATGCTTACTTAAATTAAGAAATTAAATTTGGAAGGAAAGATTTCATCCAATTTAATTTATAATTTAAATAGGCTACGAATTAGGAAGTTACCAAAAATAGGATTCTAATTTAGGTAACTATTTTAAATTCAAATAGATTTGAATTTACTCATGAATAGATTTACCTAAAATATAAAAGACTATTTTAGGAAAGGTTTAATGGCGAGTTGGTGATGGAGGGAAATACCCAAAAGGGAGGGAAAACTTGAAAACTTTCCTGAAATAGATTTTATAATTTAAGAAAGAATTTGAATTTCAAAATTTCCCAAATTTTGAATTCAAAGACCAACTAAATTATGACAATCCAAAATTAGGAAGTATCCAAAGTAGGCAATGGGGATGGGAGAGGATTAAGCCGGCGGGTTGAATGGGGTGGGTGAGAGGTCGACGGCAAGGCAATGGGTGTTGGTGGTGTCTCGGTGGGTTGAAGAAAACAACGAGGAAGAAATATAATCTTGAAGGGGAAGTAGGGAATGGAGTTAGAAAAAATTAAAGATAGAAACCACGAACCCGGCCTTCTCCAAGGTTGGTGGGTGATGCGCCAATCTCCCTCTCCTAGGGATCTCTCCAAAGTTCTCTCCAAGAACTCGCAAACGCTCTCAAACACAAGTGTAGAAAAATTTCATGATAATCATTCATTACTTTTCAAAGAGAACATAGGGCTATAAATAGTCAAGTACAAGGACTCAAGAAAATAAAAAGACAACAATGCCTTTAGGGCTTACATACGACCTCCCTTTAAGTAAGGGGTAAAGACGAAAAAACAATTACAACATAACAATAAAAGATATATAACAAAATAAAACAAATACATGAAATAACTAAAAAGTCATCGACGCGATCGTGGCCGTAGATCGACGACCACACCTTTGATTCATGCTCTGATGTCCTCATCATCTACTTCATATTAATGCATTGAACCATCGGCTAAGCAAATCACATTCTCTCAACAGCAAGAAGGCATACTACATTAAACCCTGAAGATATGAATATTGCAACTTCTGAGATATCCTTCTTTGCACATCCAATGGCCCTCCAAAAACAATCTAGGGAACTGACCTACCATCCCACCTACGTATTCATTCACCAAGAGCAATTGAAGTTTACTTTGAGACTGTGTCATGTTACAGTTTGACAAAACACATAAAAAATGAGGAGGATCCTTAAAATCAACCACATTTTTTCAAGGCCTTTCCTCAACTAGAATGAACGTAGGATAATTCATAAAGTAGACCCAAATATTTATGATATGGCTAATGACAATGATGATACTATGCAGAGAACATGCATCCTTTACAAAGGAAAAGAGATTTCACCAAGAGTATATCAAGTCTTAATGACGATTTAGTAAAAAAAAAAAAAAAACAAACAAACAAACGAAAGCTTCTAGTAATTCATTGGTAATATGTTAGGAAATACTTGAAGATCTCAAAAAAATCCTGACAATAGAGACAAAACAACGAGAAACTTCACAAAAACTGATGGAAAACACAACAAAAACAGTAGTTTTATTGCAAGGGAAGAGCTAAAGGAACAAGGAAAGCAAGATACAATTGATCCTCTATTCAAGAGGAGGATCTATCTCTCCCAAATCTCTAGACGCCTCTAGAGCTAAATTAACCACTTATTAATAGTCGGAGAGCTATTTTAAATCTTTTTTCACTAACAAAAAACATATTTCTTAAAAGCCTAAAGGTTGAAGCAAATAATTGTGTAAAACTGACACAAATGTTATTTGGTGTGCCCAATAAATAAGAATGTTAACTGACTCCACCAAAATGACCAAAGAAATATTTTCATCGTTCATTGAGCAAGATGTATGCAAGAGAGTTCACTTTGGTAATTTTACAAGTAGTCTATATCAACAAAATATCCACAAAAAGTATATGAATAAAGCCACATGACAAAGGATGAGGGTTTTAAAACATCTGAACTGCCAAACAAATGCATGGCATCTGGTAGATTGATGAAAAAAATGGTGTTCTTTATAACAGAGAATGTGGCACTTAATCATTGTAATGGGTAAAATGGGTCCACTATGAAAACATTATTAGTATAAAGAATAAATCCCCTACCATCTCTCTTCAACTATGATTCAACATTAATGACTTGAACTAATTGTTAACACATTGTATCACAAAAGTTTTATAAGAATCCAAAAGTGAAGAGTATAGCCCACCTTAAGGTGGACCATACCATCACAAGGAACTAAAACCTATGGTCCAAAGAGTTTGATAGACTTTTCTTTTTTTCTATTTTTTTTTAATATACAAATCTCATTAAGAAATATTTCAATCCTAGGAATCAGCAGAAGGAATCATCAGAAATATTTCACTCCTAGGAAGACCGAAATTCTAAATTGAACAGTCTGTTTATCAGCTTAGACAACAAAATCAAACTTTTTTCAGAAAAGAATCAGGGAATAAATTGTTATTTTAACTCACAAAAATATAATGGAGTTTATTAAATAATCAACCCTTCAGAAACTTGCTATTCTCCATTACCTTTTAAAAATGGTTTCAAGCATAGAAGAAATGATCCGAAAAAGCAAGTTTCATGGCAACTTCTGTTTTAGCTTGGCTTCTACTGTGCAGTGATATATGTGATTTAAGAAAGTACAGGATATTCCGAGGGGGCAACAGCCAAAAAGATTCACCAATGTCACATCATACAAGTAACAGTTTACCTATAAAAAATATTTATAGTACTCTACAAAGAACATATAAGTAAATTACCATTGTTTATCTCAGCAAACTTCTCCTGTGCACCTTTGTTCTTGTTTTTGTCAGGATGATATTTTAGAGAAAGCCTACAACAAACATAAAAAGGGGAGGGTTGAGTTGTTTGCACTGCTCAATTCTACTAAGTATAATAGATCATGCTTGCTTATATAGTTATTTCATACTTGTGAAAAGCTTTCTGAATGTCACGTTGAGTAGCACTCTTCTCAACCCCAAGAACCTGCAAAAAAAAAAAGAACCCTAATAAGTGTCAAAGAGTAATAACCAAGAGTCTGGGCAAAAGGAGTGAAAATTTTTCAGAATGACGGTTTAGGAATACACATAAGAAATAATAAACCATCATGAAAGTAGGCATGAAAAGGAAAAAAATCTCAAGTAGAAACGAGAATTTCCAAATTTTTATTGACCAAATAGTCGCCTCTTCTTAAGTTTACACATACATAAAATTTTCAAATTTTAAATTGTAAGTATGGATTCATAAGGGAGAAGGAAGTGCATTACCTTTACAAGTTCGAGTGGAACTCATAATACAACTTCAATGTTAGAAACATGCTCATTCAAGTAAACATATGTATGTAACGAATAAGAAACATGATCATTCAAGAAAACATATGTAACGAATCAGAAAATCACCCCTTCTTCATAGTAGGATAGCATGCAATCAAATTACACATAAAATGGATTCGTCTGGTGTTTCTTTCAAATTCATTAACACATTCAAAAATTTTTTCAAGTTTTTGGTGTGGATATCCACATCTTTCAACATTTCAAAAATCAATTATGCATTCATGCATAAAATTTCCTCAATCAAATCCTTTTAAGAGAGGAATGGATTCCCAAATGTATCAATGCATGTCGAATATTCATCATCATCATCACCGGCCTCATCCCAAGTATTTGGGTCTAGCTTTATGAATTTTCATGTTCCATTCATTCTTGTTTGAGTTCTACAATAGATGATAAATCTATAAATAAGTACTTTTACAGAGCTTGTAATCATTTTACTTAGGTCAACCATTTTTCTCCTTGGAGAAACTCTATCAACCTATTTTATTAGTACATCTTCCTAATCACCATTATGCATGCCTAAAACACCTTTATTGTTCCATCTACAAAATAATCAACAATTGGTCAAACACTTGATTGGCTCTCCAGTAAAACTCTTTCTAGCTCTATCCTTTCTAGTTTTACCACACATCTATTTTCACAGTAATTTTTACTATACTGAATCTGCTAAACGACAAATTCATTATTTCCCAACACTACAACAACTATCATAAACAATCTAATCATAGTTTTATCAGATTTAAATTCAAATTTCCACCATATTTATTGCATACTAATATGAATTTTCAACATTTTAACCACCTAATTTCAAGTTTTCAACATATGAATTATGCACTTATCAATGTCCACATGCATTAGAATGACAAAGGCAGACTTAGCACCACATGATGACAGAACCAAGTTCAAAACTTCAAATGATTTTTAAAGAGAATGGACTAAGTGACCCATGTAAAGGCTCCCATCATTAATTAAAAAATAATATCAAGACTAGCCCAAAATACCACTACATACATAAACATCTTGTTATACTACCCTGAGCTAGCTAAACAACAAATCTTTATTGCCCAACACTAAAACCAACAGTAGAAACAATCTAATAGTAGTTTTAAAATATATACCTTTAAATTTTCAGGGTATTGTTTTATTGCACACAATTCATATAACACGTCTACATTTTAACCACTTGATTCCTACAGTAAGACCTATGAACTTATCAATGTCCCCATGCATGAGGATGACAAAGACACATTTAGCACCACATCATGATAGAAGTACGAAACTTCATATTACTATCAAAGAGAATGAACCTTATATAAAAGCTTGCATCACCAATTATGCAATTATCCTTAAATTTGACCAAAACACCACTACCCGTAATAACGAACTTGCAAAAGGGATCTGTTTATCATAAAGAGATTCGTTGTTCCTGACCCCACATAAACATCTGCTTCTACAACCATGAATTTGCTGAAAAACAAATTATTTATTTCCCAACACTAAAACCAATATCACAAACAAGCTATTGTAAATTTGTACAATTTATCTTTAAATTTTGAATTTTAATGTTCTATAGTATACTACTCATGCAACACTTCTACATTTTCACCATCTAATTTCACCAGTATGAATTATGTCGACATCAATTTCCCCATGCATTAGAATGAAAAAGACAGATTTAGCAACACATCATGACAATTATAACTTCAAAACTTCAAATGACTTTCCAAGAAAAAAAAAAAAAGTAATCCGAAGTTCCAAAGGCCATCATCCATCATAAAGTTATCCTGAAACTGGCCCAAAACACCACTGCAGATATCCACATCTGTTTAAAGTGACCTCGGGTAAAAAAGAAATCAAAAGCAATAGATGAAAATACGATATATGTTTTACAACTCACTTCTAGCTCCACTCCGCACAAGCAAAACTTTTTTTTTTTCAAACTTCACAGAAAAAGCGCCGACTAAGGAGGGCTTATCCGCTAAAAGTTAATTTCAGGAATTGCTAAAAAAAAGATGAACAACCAGGTCTTCAACTATCGTACGAATTTAAACACAAAAAAAAAGCACTTCCATCTCAATGAAACCTAGAATAAACATGTTGGTCTATCACTACACAACCAAAATAAAATAAAAAGCCCTCCAATTCCAGAGTTCAAAAATTGCCACTTTCAGCACTAAAATCATCAATACCACACCAGTTCATAGCCCACGCAAGCATCAAGAACAGAAAGCATTACCATTTAACGTAAACCAAGGTAGGAAACAGACGACCAAACAATCAGTACCTTGTAGGGATCTAGGGTTTTCGCTCCTCTAGACAAGAAGAAGAAGAACGGTAGAGCAAGAAGAACAAACAACAAAACAGGGCGAATCATCATTGCCAATTGACGCCTGAGATCGTACTCACAGTTTCTCCGAATTCTTCTGCCGCAAATATTAGAATGATCTAAAATCCAAATCTCCGTCGCGAAGGAAGGAGAGCTATTTAAGGGATCGAGACTCGCCGGGGACCGTTCGGAAATATTGAGATGCTTCGCGAAAAAGAACACGTGGCGCCTCCATGTAATTCCAGCAATGTAGACCAATGAGAATTTAGTAAGTTTTCCCAAAAAAAAAAAAAAAAAACTAATATGATGATGTTATCATGTTACTGATTTAGTTGAAGAAATGCTAATGGGCTTAAAGTATGTATAAGCCCATTTAATTGTATTCTTCCCTTCAAAAAATTAAATGGGCTAGCAAAAACAAATAAGCGATAGTTTGATGGAAAATATTTTAATAATATAAAGTAAAACTAAAGTAATATATTTTGATTTTAGAGTTATATAAAGTTAAGATTTTAGTTTGAAGATTAAATTATTTTTTGTTTTGTGTTAAACATTAATCAATATTCGTGCTTCCATTTTTTTTTGTTAGGACGAATATTGAGTTCCTTTTAAGAGTGACTATATATATACAATGTTTAGAAAACTAGAAGGAGAGCACTATTTTGGAGCTATAAAACGGCCCTTTTACGCTGTCAAAACAAACTCAAAGAGGTGTTATGAGTATTTTATTGGTTAGAGGAAGATATTTCCTTTTAGGTGCTCGCAAATGATCCAAATAAGATTTCATAAGAATTTGTGAAGGCCTCAAACAATTAGGTGCCTACATATTCATTATTTTGTGCGGTCGTCGGATGGTACGAAGCGAATCAGGATGCGTCATGTCTCCCGGTACACAACTAAAAAATGACGTGACGTACCTTGATTTGCCTATGGACGGCGTCCAATGACCACACAGAATAATTTCACTAAAGACATCTTCACTATTAGGTTAATATAAGGGACTTGTAAGCATACATGAACTAGACACATAGGATGAATGTTGCTAGGCCAAAAGTTTAGAAATAGCAAACCAAATAACTTAAAATACTCACACAAATGTTTCATTGAATACTAAATTTTTTTTAATAATAATTTTTCTAATAGAAATCATCCTTCATATCATATAAATTATTGAATATACACATATATAAGATTATTAGTCAAAAGCTTTTACACAATAAATTGAATAATTTTACAAATACTCAAAATAATTTAACATAATAAAGGCTTAAAATGTATCACCATTTTATCACTCTGTTGTCTTTAACCATTATCAAATTGACCTAATTCCATATATTTTATTTATATATTTAATATTTTTTTTATAAAAATATCTATAATATTCTATTCAAATAAATAAATAAATAAATCTACAAAACATAATTAATACAAAATAAAAACATAATGCTGTCAGTTTTCTTTAAATATATATCATTTCAGCATTATTTATGCTAATAAATTAAGAAAATGGTCAACTTGAAAATTCTTTTTATATTTTTATACATAAATATATTTATTTATTTACATAATAATATAAATAAACAATTAAAAGAATGATATATTCAACAATTTCTCCTAATAAATAATTAATTTTTGAAAATTTCATAGTTTGGTTATAGTGGGTCAGTAGAGCTAATATTTTTTATTTTTATTTGATTTATTTTTATTTTTATTTAATAAAATTCAATGGTTTATATTGGACTGAACTTGCCACCTAAGTATGGTGATGCATTTACTATTCAAAAATTAAGAAATTTTTTATTTAAATAGTAATAAATATTTAATAAAATACCAACAAACTCTGAAGGGATCTTTCTATAAAAAATAAATAAATAATATTTATGAAACACCTCCTCACTTTGGCAAAATTGCTTTTTTTTAATGTCTGAATGATCGTACATCATATGATCCAAGAGAATTAGGCCAGATTAATGATCCAACATAAAATTATTTAAAAGATATTCGAACCTGTCTCGAACATGTGTTTCAATCATATTCGAGCAGCATTCAAACATATGATGCGCAGACACGGACACGGCAACACGGATACGACACGCACGGACACATCAGTTATTAAAAATATAGGACACGGACACGGTTTGGACAAGGTATTATAGTTTTTATACTTAAAAAATAGTGTATAAAAATTAAATAAGTATAATTTTAAAAATAATTTGAAAATAATAAGTCATTTAACTATAATTTGTGCTTAAAATGATTACTATTAGGATGCTGAGAGTCAGATGTCGATGCTGTTTATCAGTCACCAAGAGAGGAGATGAAAATACTTTCGCTGCCAAAAAGAAATTAAAATGAGAATATTTGATGATTGGGTATTAGGAAATAAGAATTTTAGTTTAAATCCCGCAAAATACAAGAAATTATATTTAAAAAAATTCATAAAATATTTAAGATACGCGTGTCCAATTTGTATTTAGTATTTTTTAATCGGACACGTTTTCGGCGTGTCCGACACATGTCGGAGGAGTGTCGGGCGAGTGTCGTGTCGGATATGGTGTCTGACACTGCACGCCTCTTTGAGGAGAAGTGTTGGTGCATCATAGATTCGAACATATTGTGGAGACCAATTATTTTCTACTGGTGAACATATTGAGCAATATCAACATTCTTATGATGAGGAGAGTGCAATAAAAGAATCTTGACATGTTGGTTCTAAATTTATTAGAGAAATGAACATATTATTGACGATTCTAAGAACAATTTCTCTTGAATATCTCCAAGTTTTTATATAAAAAATTACATAGATTTGTAAGAACCAATTTTCGTTCGAACATAGAAAAAGGTTTAATTCTGTATGAGTTGTGACCACATCATGCATTTCTTCAACTTAGGGTTATTTGAAGTAGTTTAGTGTCAATTATTGATGAAAGATTTATTTATGTGAAAAATGACTCTAAAGCTTATTTTGAGAGAATATATTTATATACATTATATATAGAATTTTGTTATATTTTGGAGTTACAAGAAATTTTTTATACAACATCATTCAAAGAAAAATTATATCATTTTTTGTTTAGTTTCATTTAGAAATAAAAAAAAGTTTATTTCAATATTCATAAATTAATAGCACTAATTATGTTGTTGATAATCTATACAAATGAAATGCTTTACATATTAATAAAGACTTATATGTAAGTAATTTTGGTATAAAGTAAACATTAATAAATGTGAATTACTCCATAGAATGGCACAAACTTATGACATATTTTTTTTTTAAAATTAAAAGTAGTCTGATAGATGAAACTTTTTATTTGCTTAATCTTTAATTGTTGCATATCGGAACAATTGTGGTCGTTGAGAGATGAAGAACTTATGGTCTTAGTTTTGAACGAAGATCAAACATATGAATAAATAAAAGAAAGAGGGGTGCAAGAGATATAAGAGACACAAAGATTTTTATTTGAAAATCCTAAGAAGGGAAAAATCACAGGTCCTTGCCTGTCTAAAATGATTCAACTAGTGTTTGTTATTGGTTACAAATGATGTTCTTCCTCAGGAGAAGGTGTTGGCTCAATATAGCAAATATACATCGTATGAAGTACATTATATGTTTGGAGTTGGAAAAATCCAATGACATAAGAGTTGTCCTCAAGAGAATGTTAGCATGTTCATTTTGTCGGTAGGACCTTAGGCGGTCTTAGGTGATTTGAGGGACTGTAATTAGGCAACAAAGGTTAGAGAGGTCGGAGTCGAGCAATGGAGGTCGCAGGTGTAACGCCCATAATCAAATTTGGAAGAAATTGCCTATTTATTATTTTAAGAATATATCATAGTTTCTATAAATCATCAATATAAACAATAACCAACAAAAGTAACTACAATCACATATATATATATATATTACAATTTATTTATCAAAATATTATTTACACTAGTCAGAAGATCACTCTACAAAAGAAAAAAAAATACATATTCAAAATTTAAAGAGAACCTGAGAATCTCTAACAATCTCACTCCAACCGGTCCTAACCTATTCCCTAGCATGAAATTATTAAAAATCCACAAAATTAGCTCAAAAGCCATCAACAATCCAAAACTTACTAAAGTTTTCAATGCAATGACTAAAGAATCAATATGATATACTTAGTATAATATAATCAATAGAAGTCAATGTAATTAATGATCAAATATTATCAATCAATAATAATAGCAATACCAGTCAATGTAATTAATGATCAAATATTATCAATCAATAATAATAGCAGAGAATCATTACAATGAATCTAAAAATCAATAATTTATATAAAATTCAATAAGTCAATAAAACAACAATGTATTAATCATTCATAAATCACTAAAAATATATATCTTATCTATTCATATACATCATCTGTTTATATATTATCAATGCATCCAATATTGTCAATGATATTAATGTATTTGTCAATAACATTAGTGCTATCAATATATGTATACATCAATATATGTGATGGGACATCCAGCTTTAACGTGGTATTTTCAATATAGTTTATATGAACTGATTCTCAATTGGTTATCAATTATATTAATTATCACTTATCTAATTAATCAATTATTACATGTGATTTTATTAAATCAATAAAGAGTCATCACTCTCTGTCTGCCGACGTAATAAGTCTTCTGTTATATGTTACAACCGGGGATAACACCACAAACTATTTTTAAAGAAAAAAACCCGTCGGCCCACCCTCATACGTGGGGTATTATATTTTAATAGTCAATCCATTTTATAGTGTTAACAACCAGCCTTTCTTGCTTATGCAAATACTACAATCAAAATGTAATAGAAAATAATCAATTATATTCAACATAAGAAAATCTATATAATAATAAATTTTTTAAAAACTAAAATCAAATTTGAATTACTTACAACTAATAGAAGAAATCTCTTAACAAAATTGACAGATGAAAAAGCTCCAAATAACCTTCTAGGTGTCTCTCAGTTCCCTCTCTTCTCTTCGACAAGGCACATCAACAAAATTCTGATTTTTTATTTATAAAAAAATCAGATTAGTGGTAATCTAATTTTCAGAATGCCAAACATTAGAGGTAGAGATTTCAACAATTGATGAAAAGTTATATTTTGTATCATGAAGATTTTAGTTTTTTAAACATTTTATGTCACATTTATTTTAAAAAGAGTTCTATTAATTAATTGTGTATTTTTTTTTTTCATAATTTTTTGTTCTTTTTAATTTTTTGTTATATAATTTGCAATGATAACATGATTATTATAGTAATTTTATTATTTTTAAATAAATTAATATTTATTATGTCATCCAGTTTAACCCTATTTTGATCATAGAACCGTGAACCTCTCCTTCCAGTTCGTTGTTCGATCCAGTTTTCACAATATTGGGTTGGAGCCTGGAGGTACTGTTGTTAGGTGACAGAGGCTGGAGGAACGTTGTGAGGCGATGGAGATCGAAGGAATTGTAGTCGGTGGGCAATTGTGGTCGGAGGAACTATAGTCGAGCAATAGAGGTCAGAGGGACTGTAGTCGAGCACTAGAGGTTGAAGGGATTATTATTGGGCGATAAAGGTCAGAAGGACTATAGTTGGAGAGACCGTTGTCGATGGGCAACTGAGGTCAGTGGGTTCATACTCGGACAGCTGAGGTCGAAGGAACCATTCTCGATTGACAAAGCTCAGAGAGACCATAGTTGACAGACCAGGAATGTCAAAGGGACCATAGTCAACAGGTACAGAGGTCCGGTGGAGACTAACAATGGCGGCCAGATGGAGTTCTAATGGTGATAGTTAGGCGGAGATCCAACAGCGATAGATGGGCAGCGAGGATTTGTCGATGGTGGTGCATGGGTGTAGCTGTAAAACTCTTCAAGCTTCAGATCTATTTTGAGTTTCTAGCTCAAGATCCAAGCCTGTAAAAGTCCCTCTCATATAGAGAGTGTAGATGTATTTATATATTTTGAGATTGAGATGCCTCCTAAATATGAAAAAGTTAAGGAGCAAATCATGAGTGCTCCATCGGACGACTCTTATTTATCCCTTTAATCATAAAAAGTTCATTCTGCATTTAAGTGGCTTAATAATGTTAAATTTGAGTGATCTTGGGCTCACTGGATTTATCTCATCGAGTTGTTTGATTTGACTATAAGCATGTTATATTTGATTACTATTTGCCATTCAATTAATTCTTTGAAGCTGCTAAATATATTTTGGTCCTTTGATTTATGTCAATTTGGGCTTGGATTGAACTTATTTTGGCTCCATTGATTTGTCTCATCAAGATGTTTAGTTTGACTATAAATTTATTGAAATCATAATTCATAATGAACCCATATTTAATTCCGAAAGTTTCCAACTAGATATGTTGTGAGATTTGTGCTTGATTAAGATGATTTTTGGTGACATATTAGTGTTTTTAGGATAAAATAGCAATAATATGCCATAAAATAGTAATAATCTCAATAAATTAAGGCAATTTTTATCATCCAACTGGCCTACAACCAGATCTCTAATTGAATAATTAAATCTCGAAACTTTTCTTCTTTCGATCATGAATCCAATTTTCACAATTGCCAATAACCGTTAGCAAAATAGCGGGCCAATAAATAGAGCTACAAGATGCAACTCTCCTTCATCTATTGGTTGGGTGTTTTGACTATCAACTACAAGATCTTGGATTTATGTGTATGTGTTATGTATGAGTCGGGACACTGTCCTTTAATTTCCAACCTGAATACACAATATAAGAAGCATGAGAATTCCCAATTATCATCCAAGAACTTAAAACAAGAGATATGCCTTAAATGATATCTTTCAGTAAAGAAAAAATCTATACAAATCAAACTAGCAACTAAATATGAACAAAGGCTGCCATTTCCCCTCTTAACAGTTAACATAAATATAAACAAAATACCATTACAGCATTGCTAATAAGCCCAACAAGTCCAGTCAGGAGGCAACTTGAAAACCAATGCCCCGAAGCAGAAGAAGCAGAAAATTACTTCTGCAACAAATGCAATTTTATCAGAACAAGAAAGAAGCAGGTTGATCTCTCCAAATATCAGAAACCAAACTTATTTCAGTTTAACTTTCTTTACTTATCCACAGCCTGCCTTGCAATCCCAAGTTCGAGTCCTCTCAATCAAATGATCAACCAAAGTTCTGGAGTGATTGAACTAGAGGGCTGAAGATATCTCATTGTACCTCAGAAGCTAGAATTTTGAAGTCATACTTCTGTTTTTTCTGATAATTATAGTTTATGGTTAAGTTGATAGAATGTATGTCATCCCTCCATCAACTAGAAATTATCAGACTTGGTTCAGATAAAATGCCCAAGTTGAATAATCATAACACTGATATCATCCATTGAGCCTCGAGAAATCGATAAATTCACAAGCTTTTTGCAAGCAGAAAGGGGAGTTGGCTTCTGTGGATCAACACACAGCGGGCGGGCTATATCGACAGCTTCCTGATTGCTAACCTGAAAGATTGATAAAAAAAAATTGTTAGTAAATCGCAATTCTCTCAGCCAATGAAGAACAAAAATTTTAAATACTTGAAATGGCGAAAGGCTTCACCTTTTCCCAAAGTCCATCAGAAGCTAGAATTAAGAATTCACACTCAGGTTCAATCTTGATAACTCTAGTCTCAGGTTCTGGTATAACCCATTGCTTGAGATGAGAATCTCCGATTCCCCTAGAAACAGCTAAGGAACCCTGCAATCTCCAAACACCTCTAGAGCAATCTATGTAACCACCCTGAAGACCAAATCATAAATACAAATATACAATAAGTGCTTGTATCACCAAAAGCTAAAAGATTTACTGTAATAGAGCTTTAACAAGTAAACAAGATGAAATAATAACATACCATGCGTTCAATTCTGTCTTTCTCGTCCTCTCTTGAAGGCCGGTGGTCAGAAGTGAGAGCCTCAGCGGCGCCCGAGACGCTCATGACGGCGCGGCAGTCACCGGCGTTAGAAACAATAAGATCTCCTTTCATTACAAAAGCCGTAACACAGCAAGTCCCACCTTTTACTTGCTCCTTTAAGAATTCTGCATCGGTCTTCAAATATCCATTCTTAACCTCTTCCTCAACCCCAATCACCCTTTCTTCTCCTTCTCCACTCATCACCTCCTCCAGTATACGCTTCCCAATGTTCTCCGAAGCAAATTGGGATGCCTTCGAACCGCCATGACCATCAAATACGCCAAAGAACGCCTGCAAATACAAAAACCCATTAATCGATATAAACAATTAAACAAAATCGATTTTTTTTTGCGAAAATTGATTAAAAATCAGTTACCATTTGGGAATCTCCTTGGAGATCAACGGATGCGCTATGACGATCCTCCATCTCCACCCTCTTCCTTCCTCTCTTGCAATAAACCGAATACCGCGCACACTCCTCCTCCACTTCCCGTCGGCCATCCGATGCCAGCGGCGGCTCAATAGCTTCCAATCCCATATTCGGAATATCGATACGAGCAGGCCTCTTCCTCTTCAAAAGAGGAACAGAACGCGAAAGGTTCGAGGTCGCCGCCGGCGAGAAATGGTTCTGGGTGAGCCCGACGGCTAGGGTTTCCGGCGACGTCATACAGGTGAGAGGTATTCTCTGCGGTGAGAATACCGGCGAGCCGCTAACCGCTACCGAGCAAGACATCTTTCGCTCTCTTCCAACGTTTATTCTTCTCGTCAGCTTCAACGCTTACTCTTTTATACAGAACTGGACTGTTTCCAATGTTCCTCGGAACTACTTTATAAAGCATTACCATTACAATTAACTCTAATTTTACTTTAACAAATCAAATACAAATAAAATTTTATTCTAATGCATTTTATTTAATTATTCATTTATTAATTATAACTAGATAAGAAATTTTTAATTATTCATTTATTAATTATAACTAGATAAGAAATTTTTAATTATAATTTAATTTTTTAAGTAATTCATATACAATTCATTAATTTAATTACCAAAATACAGATAAAATATTTCTCTGTAGGCGATGATAACTAATTTATGCATGGGGAGCAGCACAACGCAAGGGTCAAAAGCGATGGAAGTGGTGGAGTTTTTCTAGTCAACAAACAGGACGGCCGGAACAGAAATCCGCTACAAAAGCAGACACGAAACAGCGTCTTCATCGCGATGTTCTTCTTGGACGTGGATGCTTAACGAGCACGTTGTGATGATTGAATGGTGAACTTCACTGTATGCTGTTTTGTAGTATGAGTCAAAGGTGTTATTTTTAAGTGCTGGACGGCCAGATGAAACGAAGGGTCAAATAATAAAATAGAAACGCCTTAAAATGCCACGTAGCAGAAAGACACGTGGATGGTCGTGGGTTAGTGGGTGAACTTTCTGGTGAAAATTGCGGTTTTGTATGTACGATTATTATATGACCATTGACTGAATAGCCGAAAAAAGAAACATAAAAGAAAAAGAGCAGAAATTGAACGTTTAGATTCAAAGAGTAAAAATTATGCTCCAAATGTGGAAAATCCTCATATTTTACTATTTTAGTCAAATAAAATTCAAAATTTGTTTACTTTAATTGGCATAAATTAATTTGACGAATTATACACGTGTTTCTGTATGCATACGCACTTATATTTAAGCGAACACATACGCAAAAATAGATTTAATAGTAACTTAAAAAAAAAAAAAAAAAAAACATTAGTTAGTATTTTTTAATTTAATTAGAATTAAAACTTAGGTATTCTTTAATTTAAGTATTATGGATGGAACTTTACTTTATTGTATTTGATTCATCAACATATTATAGTTTTATGTTTATGGATCATTTAGACTTAACTTCTTTGGTTAGATTAGCCTAATCTATCTAACTTAGGCTTCGTTTGCGGCGGCTTTCTTACTGCTTCTTTAAGTAGTTTTCTAGTATAAAAATTTTAATTTTAAAACTAGAAAGCTAATTTAAAGAGTAATAAAAAGCCGTCCCAAACGAAGCCTTAATCATGTGTTATACTAAACTTTTTTTTTGGGTAAACCCGGGGCGTGAAAAGCCCATATATTAAAAAAGGAAATTCAAATTACAAGTAACAAGTTGAAAAGAAAGATAAAGAACTAAAACTAAACAAAAATCTCAAAGACTATAACAGATAAAAGTCGATGGAAATTGGCAACAACATAAGACTCAGAAATCAGGCGCTGTCTCAATCATCAAATAATTTCAGAATCCATAATGAAATGAAGCAGACGGTGGCACCGGTTGCCCACAAAACCTGAGTAAGCGACGAGTAACCCAGCAAAACTGGCCATCACAGTGCCTCCAGCCTGTCAAGAAAAAGCCACAAAAACGAGCCAGGTTGCCAAAAAGACCCTCCATAGCTCGGAGAGACAATCCTTGCTCATCATCGTCTATTTGGCCCATTCCCACCACAAAAATACTGCCATAGTCTTTGATGTATACCCGAGAGGTGCTAGTAAAATGATCCATAATTAAACTGGAATGTGAAAGCGAAAACATAAAGCCACATTCCCAAAAAAACCTATCCCAGGTCTGAATTTGATAAAAAATCAGAATAGCAAAACTGAACCAGGTGAAACCGTCTTCAGGAAATAGGTACCAAATAGCCAAAACATGAATCAAAAACCTCCAGAATAGAAAGAAGGCCGACCAAGCTAAATAACATAGAACCTGCACAACAATAAGGCTTCATTTGGGTTGACTTTCTTACTGCTTTTTAAAGCAACTTTTTAGTACAAAAAATTAAATTTTTTGTACTAAAAAGTTGCTTGAAGTAGTAAGAAAGTTATTCCAAATGAAGTCTTAGCTTCTCTCTCTTAATCATATTAATAGTTTGATTAAAATATTTCTATCACATTGATTATTGCTATCATTAGTACGTACACTAGGTGCACATTGAGTTGTCTCGATCCATAACACACTAAGATCATTTGTGTTAGTGCAATGAGCCCTACAGCGTCCATAGTTAGCTTCAAGATATCATAACCTTGGTCCTAATATGATTCATTGCACACTAATTAGTTATATATTATATGAACCATGAATCGTGTAATGCTCTACAACACTTTGAATCGTTGAATCGTCGCTAACATAATAATCAAATTTTATAAATTGTGTTACGTTCATCATCATAACTTATATGGCACAATGAGTGGAGTATCAAAATTACAAATCTTTTATGTGAAATCATGCAACTAAACTTTTCTTGAATGAAATTTCATCCTAGAAATTTTTCTATATGGACCTCATTATTTTAAGAAATGAAATATACCATTCCATTTTGAAGATTCAACACAACATCCCTCCATTTTTCATACCTATCACACCACGCTCTAGAAAGTTTGCAACATGATCATAAAAATAGTTGAAGTTACTAGAAAGTTTTTATGGCCTTAGCGAATACTCTCAATTTTCCTACTAAAGTTCATCCCCACTTCTGCAAAATTGGATTGACCATAAAGGGAATTGAAACTCAAGTTAACAAGGTATGTAATATATTGTTCTTAATCAAAAATTAGATTCCTACCTTGCTTATTGTCACATGGACCAAATTCTATGCAGAGCTATAAAAAGTAGTGAGATAACTATGTTGGTAATTTCCAAGCCTCCACAACTTGCTCCCATGAACATTTTGTATGAAGTTGATATTTTATTAGATAAGATCCCAATCTAGCAGCTTTTGGACCTCCAAACCAAGCCTTTGCCTTTGTGAAACTTAGATCTCCATATTGATTATTATTGAAGACATAGCTAAAATGAAATGTATATTCATTCCTTGATTAAAGCAAGTACAATGTGATCTATATATAGACTATCATACAGCCTATACATGAAACTAATACAAGGTTCTAGATAACAGGTAAAAACATGTACATGTATATAAATGGGTACATATTATTACACCCCCTCAAGCTGATGGACAAGTTTGAACAGTCAGCTTGTCATGTAAGTAGTGAAAACGAGGAGTTGAGAGTGATTTGGTAAATATGTCAGCGATCTGATCTTTAGTGGAAATCGGGAGGATCTGCACCGTTTTAGATTGAATGTGATCTCGAATGAAATAATGATCGATTTCTATATGCTTAGTAAGGGCATGGAAAACGGGATTGTTGGTGAGACCAATGGCCGAAGTACTGTCACAATGTAAATTTGTGGGAGACTGTTCGTGAATGTTGAAGTTTAGTAATAGTCGTCGAAGCCATAACACATCGACTAGGGCGATATCAAGGGATCGGTATTCAGATTCCGTAGAAGATTGAGCAACCGTTTACTGCTTTTTGACACTCCAGGAAATAAGGGTGTTGCCTAAGAATGAGCAGTAACCTGAGGCGGATTGTTTTGTGTCTTTATTGCCAACCCAATCAGCATCCGAGTAAGAGTGTAGTTCCATATTGCCCTGCAAGATAGGTAAACCAAGTGAAAGAGTTCCTTTTATGTAATGAAGTAATCTGTGGAGGAGGTGAAAGTGATGAGGATCAGGATTATGCATCTGTTGGCATAATTGATTAACCGCAAGGATATATCTGGTATGGTTATAGTAAGTTACTGTAGAGAACTGGTAAGTTGTCTGTAGAGCTTAGGATCAGATGGCAGGACTTGATCTTTGCTGGGATCCGTAGCTTTGGTAGAAGTGGGGTTGGTTAATGCCTTGTAGTTGGTCATACTCGCTAATTCCAAGATTGAAGCAGCGTACTACTTTTGGGATAACATATACGAGTTGTTTGTTATGTTTATGTTTATTCCCTAGAAGTTGTGTGCCAGACCAAGGTTTTTCATATCAAAATATTTGTTCAGCTGAGAGATGACGGTGGCAATCATAGAAGAATCATTGACGGTTAAGAGTATGTCATCAACGTATATAACTAAGTATAGACGACTGTTATCCTTATGAAGGATGAATAGCGATGAATATGCTTTGCCCAGAGAGAAGCCGAGAGTGTTGAGAAAAGTTGAAAAGGTTTGGAACCATTGTCGAGGTGCCTGTTTAAGGCCATAAATCGCTTTCTTGAGTTTGCATACATAATCAGGATAGTGGTCGTCTTCAAAGCCTTTGGGTTGTTTCATGTAGATGATTTCATCAATGTTACCATGTAGGAATGCGTTCATCACGTCCAGCTGATGCACATGCCAAGCATTAGAAACAACAATAGTTAGTAAAATTCGTATAGTTTGAAATTTAGCGATTGGATTGAAAGTTTCTAGGTAATTTAAACCGTATTGTTGATGGTTGCCTTGAGCAACTAGACGGGCTTTGAAATGAGCAATGGTACCATCTTATTTATGTTTGATTCGGAATGTCCAGCAGCTGCCAAGGACGAGACTGTTTTTAGGTAGAGGAACAAGCTCCCAAGTACCCTATTTTTGTAAAGCATAAAATTCCTCAGCCATGGCACGTCTCCAATGCAGATGCTTAGTAGCTTTGTTGTATGTGGTAGGTTCTGATGGGCAATTGGACTATGAAGAGGTGTGAAGATGAAGAAGATTAAGCCGTTGAGTGGGTTTAAGTGAGCATGTTATGGTTCTGGTAATCATAGGGTGAGGAGATTTGTTGGAGATGAGGGGAATGTTGGTATTGTGCGTATGAGCAGAAGACTGAGATAACAGGGAGTTGGATAGAATGCTTTGAGTAGAGGAAATAGTAGGAATATTTGATGTAGCAGATTACTGATGCATAGAAGTGGTCTTAGCAGAATT